CCACACATGGTGCTCTATAATGTATTGCTGGGATTTGTATTCCTCTATAGCTGATGGTACATTGTGCTGTATATTATACAGGGCAACGTACCATCAGCTATAGAGGAATAAAAAAATCCCAGCAATACATTATATAATGTATTGCTGGTAATTGTTGTATTCCTATATAGCTGGTGATATTCTGCACTGCGCTGTATACAGGACTACAAAACCCAGCAACAGTACATTATACAGCGCAATGCAGAATACCGCCAGCTATAATGTACTATTGCTGGGATTTGTTGTAGTCCTCTATAGCTGGTGATATTCTGCATTGTGCTGTATAATGTACTATTGCTGGGATTTGTAGTCCTCTATAGTCGGTGCCATTCTGCATTCATTGCTGTATAATTTTACACTTTCCTTTTCACTATATTGCACACCACACTATTTTTTTTCTTTTTTACTTCCACCGCTCCAAGTTTGCTCCTGTGATGGAGTGCAATTTCAATACAAACTAGTACTCCATCACTGGAGCCATTTTAAAAAATGTATTTTATTGTTTATCCGATTAACCGATTAATCGAACTTAATAATCGGCTAACTAATCGATTTTGAAAATAATTGTTAGCTGCAGCTCTAATTTCAATGCAATGCATAAAAAAAAGGCATTATGTGCCTTTGTGCCTATTTGAGAAAACCTCATGTGCCTTCATTAACACAATGGTGTGAAGAGGCCGTCATGTTAACAAATGTCGCCTGGAATTGCACTGATTTCAGATCCCAGCAACATCATAAATGCATATCATGCTTTCTAAGGCTTCATACACACACAACACAAGAGCAAAATTGTATATTGCATTTATACGCGTATATGCGTGCACTTTATGCAATCCCAGAATGCATCATTCGTAATAGAAATTTTAATGAACTGTACATGCGTATATGCACGTACACGCGTTAAAAACCCCAGACATACGTTGCCCGGACGCATCTCTGGTCCATCTGTACGCAGCGCAAATATACGGCTCCATACGCAACTATGTATATTTGCATATGGGACAATACGCGCATATATGCAGCTTATTGTACGGCAGTGTGTATGAGGCCTTAGGTTTTGGATGCACATACCCCATGCAATGTCAGGATACATACAAAGTATTTCTATGCAAGAACATGGAAAGGCCAACATTAGGTAAAGACCTTCTCACTGTACGAATGCCATTGTTTCAAAGGGCATCTATTGTACAATAAAAAAAAAGAATGAAATGACTAAATAAAAAATGCTTTAACTCTTTCACTTCAGTTATGGTGCAGAATCCAGTTTTAAAATCTAAATATATAATCTTCAGAAAGAGAGACATTCAGATTGAGATCTCAAGTTTATTTATTCAACATAGGGGTCTATTCACGTAGCAGCCGAAGGATCTAGCCGTAGCTTCGGCCGATCCTTTGGCTTGCTTCGGCCCCAGGACCCCTTCGGTTCAGTAGAACCGAAGGGCTGCTGTACGGGCTATTCACAATAGCCCGTACAGCTCCTGAAGTTGGCCGAGCGGCTCAGTCAAGCCGAACGCATATGCCTCGGCTGAGCCGCGCTGAAAGCAGAAGCTGGCCGAGCGGCCGGCCATTGGCTGGCCGACAGCCTGCTTCTGACAGCTGGACGGAGCCAGCCGTGATCTTACGGCTTGCTCCGGCCACTTGCAGAGAGATCAGCATCCCTGGTTAACCAGCTAACCAGGGACACTGATCTCCAGACAGCCTAACTCTGCCTGGCGCTCTGGGAGTCTCCCGCTCCCGGCCCTCTCCTTGAGAGAAACACTGCTTTTCCTTTTCTTTTTTCTTATTCTGACACGGAATAGAATAGAAAAAAAATAATAATTTTTGGCCATAGGAATGCATATGCATTGAAGTAAATGGCACTGCAGCCACGCCCCCCGCCTGATCGCCCACACCCAGGACACAGGCACATTAGTGCCTGCGTTCCGGTCCAGTGCGATCTGCAAAAATAGTGCTTGCAGCATTTTTGTAGATCACACTGGACGGGAACGCATGCACTAATGTGCCTGCATTCCAGGCGCGGGCGACTGCAGGGGCGTGGCAATGCATTGAAGTCAATGGCACCGCAGCCACGCCCCTAAACGCAGGGAGCCGGCCAGCTTGCGTTCCATAGGCCGAACGCTCTGGAATGCAGACTCTGTGGTGTGAACCGCCCCAGCAAGAGAAAGGAGAGAGAGTGCGAGAGATGCAGTAGTCCCAGTAGCGATTTAAATGTGCTTGTCTTCTAAATAATGGTGTTTTTTCGCTGGTAGATCTCATTGAGCTCGTCATTTGAAAAGTAGATCTCCAGACGAAAAATTGTTCTCTAGACCAACTGTTCCCTTGCCTATGTTTTCTCCTCCTGATCTACCTTCAAATCACCTCATTATCCAGTGCTGCTTTGTTAATTTAGGAGCCACTTCTGGGCTTGCTTCTATTTTCCCGGTGGTGCCCCTTCTAATCTGTCATGGAGGACAGACTTGAGTGATTTTAAGCCTACACTCCATGGTGGTTCAGGAGGGGTGCTGCCGCACCAAAAGATCCCAGCAATACATTATATAGCAACGCAGAATAATATGAAGCTACATACTCTGTGTTGCTCTAGGGTGGTGGCCTGATTTCACCTGTCTCAGGTGGGCTGTGTGGAGTCTCAGGATGGCTGTGGAGGTCTCAGGTGGGCTGTGGGGGGTCTCAGGTGGGGTCTCAAGTTGGGCTCTGCGTATTATTATTATAATTAATAATGTTTTCGTTTTATTTTTTTTTCAACTTTTTATCAGTTATTTGTTTTCATTTTAATTTCTTTTATTTTTTTTTTACTTAACTCTGGACATAGGAACGCACTGGACTCTGGACATAGGAACGCTCTGGACACAGGAACACACTGGACGCTGGACTTGGGAACGCATTGGATTTGGGACTTGGGAACGCATTGGATTTGGGACTTGAGACTGCATTGGATTTGGGACTTGGGAACGCAATGGACCCGGGACTTGGGAACGCAATGGACCCGGGACTTGGGAATGCAATGGACCCGGGACTTGGGAACGCAATGGACCCGGGAACGCAATGGACCCGGGACTTGGGAACGCAATGGACCCGGGACTTGGGAACGCAATGGACCCGGGAACGCAATGGACCCGGGACTTGGGAACGCAATGGACCCGGGACTTGGGAACGCAATGGACCCGGGAACGCAATGGACCCGGGACTTGGGAACGCAATGGACCCGGGACTTGGGAACGCAATGGACCCGGGAACGCAATGGACCCGGGACTTGGGAACGCAATGGACCCGGGACTTGGGAACGCAATGGACCCGGGAAAATGGGCTCTGGACTTGGGAACGCAATGGGCTCTGGACTTGGGAACGCAATGGGCTCTGGACTTGGGAACGCAATGGGCTCGGGACTTGGGAACGCAATGGGCTCGGGACTTGGGAACGCAATGGGCTCGGGACTTGGGAACGCAATGGGCTCGGGACTTGGGAACGCAATGGACTCGGGACTTGGGAACGCAATGGACTTGGGACTAAAAACAGAAGTATACTCGCAGATAATACAAGCCCTCCCCAGCCCCTGAAATGTTCTTTATACGTATATAAAAACATATCTGTCATTGTCAGTGTGAATGAGGCCTTAGCCTTAAACCTAATTTGCACAGCAATTCATTGACATTTTTTTATGTAATATTTACCTATGAATACCAATGATAAAGCTAAAGTGGTTATATTACACTTTCATACATATCTCCATTTCTTATACCAACATTAGCAGTCCCCTCTAACAAGAGGCAGATTCACCAAGAGATTAGAATGTCTGTGCAATAAAATACATGACCAATCTGTATGATGACCAATCCATCATACAGCCACTCCACACTATACATGACCAATCCATCATACAGCCACAGCCCACATTATACATGACCAATCCATCATACAGCCACTCCACACTATACATGACCAATCGATCATATAGCCACTGTCCCTACTATACATGGCCAATCCATCATACAGCCACAGCCCACATTATACATGACCAAGCCATCATACAGCCATTGCACCCACTATACATGACCAATCCATCATACAGCCACGGCCCACATTATACATGACCAATCCATCATACAGCCACGGCCCACATTATACATGACAAATCCATCATACAGCCACTCATAGCCACTGCCCCCACTATACATAACCAATCCATCATACAGCCACTGCCCACACTATACATGACCAATCCATCATACAGCCACTGCCCACACTATACATGACTAATCCATCATACAGCCACTGCCCACACTATACATGACCAATCCATCATACAGCCACTGCCCACCCGATATATGACCAATCCATCATACAGCCACTGCCCACACGATATATGACCAATCCATCATACAGCCACTGCCCACATTATACATGACCAATCCATAATACAGCCATTGCCCCCACTATACATGACCAATCCATCATACAGCCACTGCCCACACGATATATGACCAATCCATCATAGAGCCGCTCCACACACTACAGAACATGACTGATATATCCATAACGCCATTCCGCACACTATAGAACATATATACAGTGCCTTTGCGAAAGTATTCATCCCCCCCACCACCACCGCCCAAACCCTAATTCGTAGTGTTTTTCCTGTTTTATTGCATTGCAACCTGGAATTAAAATGGATTCTTTGTTGCTTTGTATCATGTGATGTAAACAACACGCCTATCACTTTGCAGGTATAAAATATTTTTTTATTGTGACAAACAATAATTAAGACAAAAAAACCCCCCAGAAATCTTTAGTGTGCAGTATTCACCCCCTTTGCTATGAGACCCCTAAATAAGATGTGGACCAACCAATTAACTTGGGTAGTTCCATAATTAGTTAATAAAGGTTCACTTGTGTGCAATCAAAGTGTGACATGATCTGTCACATGATTGTCAGTGTGAATACAACTGTTCTGAACGGCCTGAGTCTGCAACAACACTAAGCAAGTAACATGTAGATCAAGGAGTGCTCCACAGGTCAGATACAAAGTGTAGATCAGGGCTGGGTTATAAAAAATATCCAAAACTCTGAACAATCCCCAGAGCACCATTAAAAAAAAAAAACAATCTTGAGTGTGCCACTATTTGCTGCAAGTCTCTTGGGGAATGTATTAGCTTAGCACATCTAGACACTTCTTGCCCATTCTTCAAGTCAAAGCTGCTCCACGTCCTTCAACCCATTTCCACCCTTGTAAGTGATTAGCATGCATTGTGGTAATGTAGAGGTGCAGTGATGATGTCTATGTGTGCACATTTTTATGACCCGCATTGCCGGCTTTCATTTTTTATAGACTTTTCAGTAAGCCTGAGTCCTACAAATGGAAAATGTTCTCCACAAGAAACTCTGGGGTCTGGATTGTAAAGCAGCTGACCTGTGAGTCATTGTAACAATATCACTGCACATTAGCTCCGCCTTTCCAGGTCACAATACACTGTCCGGGCAGGGGGTTCCCACAATGTATACGGGGAGAGAGCTCAGAGAGAGAGAGTGTGTTAATTTGCAGACTGCTTGCAGAGAACAGAGGCGACCATTTCACAAGGAGCCATGAGGAGATGAAGAGGACAAAAAAAGAGTTAAGTTTTTGTGTTCATATACAGCATATGCCTGCTTCATGTACACTCTGAGGGGAATTTATCAAAACTGGAGCAGATAAAAACTGGAGATGTGCATGACAACCAATCAGCTTCTCTCCTCAGTTTGTTTAGTTAAGATTTAAAAAATGAGAGAAGCTGATTGGTTGCCATGCACAGCTGCTCCAGTTTTGATAAATTCCCCCCTCTGTGTACAATGCTCCAGTTTTGATAAATTCCCCCCTTTGCGTACATTGCTGGCGTATGATTTCTGGTTTTGAAATGCCTCTACAAAGGTGGAAATGGGCTTTAAGTGAGATGGGTTGTGTTGGTGTACAGCAGGGGTGCCCACAAGGTCAATCGCGATCTACCAGTCGATCGCGTAGCGATCACTGGTAGATCGCCATGTCCTCTCCTCCCGCCGCTTCTCTGGATCCCCGCTGCTCTCCCCAGCGGGGATCCGAGAAGAAGTGAAGGAACCGTGGGCTGGCGGAGGGCGGAGCCACTGTCACAGAACTAATGCAGAGCGGTGAGGAGAGAGAGACGCTCGGCCAGGATCTGACAGCCGGCGCCTATCTCTCCCCTCACTGCTCGTCCATTCTGTCACAGCGGCTCCGCCCCCCCCCCACCCACGGCTGAAGTGCTCTTTCACTTCTCGTCGGATCCCCCGCTGCCTCTGCCCGGGAGAGCAGGGGGGATGCAGAGGAGAAGCTGAGCCCATTTGTGCGTGGCCGAGCGGCAGAGGATCGCTCTGATCACTCCAGTGTTTGTAAATAACTGGGGATACATAGTACTATGTGTCCCAAGTTATAAATGAATGATTTACATCACGTCCTGTTCATGCATGAGTTCCTCAATGGGGAGAAGCACTCTGTACAGAGGCTCCTCCCCATTCAGAAACAGCTTGATAGTAAAATATTTTCTTAATGAATGAGAAGCCTCTGTGCTTTCCATTCATTTAGAATAGAGGCTGCAGAAAAAAAGATTGAGGACTATGTGTCCTCAATTTCTTTTTCTATTTTAAAAGGGAAATATCAGGGGGCTTTTCAGACCCCTAATATTTCCCCGAAGCCCCCCCAAGAGTAAAAAAAAAAAAAACTTACGAAAATTAAAAATAATGAAAATAAAAAAAATAGTAAAAAAAGAAATAAAAAAAATGTTTTTTTTCTTGCCTCAGGCGCAAAAGGAGCTGGCTACGGCTATGCTCCCATGTGCAACGTCGGCCACACGAGCACCATGGGAGGACAGGACGCCGGGACCTGTAGGGCGCACTGGAATGTAAGCCGGCCGACTCCCTGCGTTCAGGTGCGGGAGGGGGTGTGGAGCTGTATTGAAGTCAATGGCATCGCCCACATTGCGATCGCCCGCACTCGGAACGCAGGCACATTAGTGCCTGCATTCCGGTCCAGTGCGATCTGCAAAAATAGTGCTTGCAGCATTTTTGCGGATCGCACTGTGGGCGAGGGGCCTGCCTGCGGAGCCATTGACTTGAATGCACCGCCACGTCCCCTCCCGCCCCTGAATGCAGGTGTTTTTTCGTTGATAGATCTCAATGAGCTCGTCATTTGAAAAGTAGATCTCCAGATGAAAAATAGTGGGCGCCCCTGGTGTACAGCAATCTTCAAGTCATGCCACATATTTTCAATTGGATTGAGGTCTGGGCTTTCACTAGGCCGTTCCAAGACATTCAGATCACTCCAGTGTAGCTTTAGCAGTATGTTTAGAGTCATTGCCCTACCGGAACAACTGTGATCTCAGTCTCACATCTGTGGGCAGACAAACAGGTTTTCTTCAAGAATTTACCTGTGTTTAGTGCCATCCATTTGTCCTTGCCCACTCTTCCATATAGCCCCACTCTGTGCACAGCTTAAAGCGACACTAAACTCAGGAGTTACATCTTAAAGGAGAACTATGAGGCGAGTTAAAATCCCTCATCCTCATAGCTTGAGCCGACGTGTGACAATGAAACTGTCACAGGTCGTCTCAATAGATCGGGAAGTGACTGAACACATACTGTCGCTCGCTCACTTCTCGATCCTGTCCCTGCAGAGAGCCGTGACTGTCACTCACGACTCCCTGCAGGTATCCCCCAGCGCTGACTGAACGGATGGGGAAGGGGGCGGGTACAGCTGGCTCTGCCTCTAGATAGGCAGAGCCAGCTGTCACTCACGCAGCTGGGTGGATCTCGACAGTAATGTCAGGATCCGTCCCATCTGCAGCAGTCTCAGTATACCGCAAGTTGTAGCTCGCGATATACTGAGCTTTGGGTAATGGGAGGACGCTAGTATATATCCTACCGTGACCCTTAAGAGAACTATGGGGAAAAACACTTACCCCATAGTTCTTTTTTTAAAACCACATTCAAGTATCTTAACTATTGGGTAGAGTAACTATGAATTGGGTCAATTACTATGTAAATAATATCAGGTTTAATTTAATAATTTGTAGTGAGATTGTAGTCCATCAAAGGAGCGAGCTTGGAGTGGTGACTACTTTACAACACACACGGGGACCATGGGGAACAAAAGTAGCCACCCTCCAGAAGGAAGGACAGTGTCAGCACCAATTCAGAGATGATTTTGATGCTTTACAACACTTTCCGTGTCCTTCTGGGGGGTTTCATTGCATCTCTGAATAGCTCTTTTTGCATGGACTGTTTTGATGGACGGCCTTCTCCTGTCAGGATTGTAGTGGTGCCATTTTCTTTCCATTTTGTTATAATGGATTTATTGATGCTCCAGGGATGTTCAAATTTGGGGATATTTTTTTTTTATGACTAGTGCTGCAGCTAACAATTATTTTCATTGATTAGTTAGCCGATTATCTTAAATCAAAATACACAAATGCAGCTTTAGACAAAGTTTACTTCAGAATAAAACAGTATGCACATTGTTTGCAATCGCACTGCACTGGAACGCAGGGCATTGCAGTACCATGCATTCCAGTGCGGG